GCCGGGCCCCGCCCTCCTGGGGCTCAGAGATCCATATTTCCACACCAGGGCACCTGCATGCAGCCACTGGGGGTGTTATAACACTAACCGTAGCCACCTTTTATCACGCTACTACCTGCCCATTGTTTCCTGTACAGTAACGCAGAGTTAGCTGTAATTACAGAGGACAGAGATAGAGACAGCTAGCCCTGCTTTCGGGTTCTTGCTCTCGTCGCTTGCAAGCTGTGTGTCTTTAGATAAATCACTCAATCCACAGTGTCCTCGTCCATGAAGTGGGACAACCACAGCCATAGGGTTCCTGGGAGGGCAGTGAATCGATGCACAGGAAGGGCAGTGACTTCTGATCCCGTGGGTGTTCAGGGTGGCTCAGAGCTTGCATTTATCTGCACAGCGAGAATGCTCACAAAGGCCGGCTGGCGCGGCTCAGGGGCTGAGCGTCGACCTATGAACCAGGAGGTCACGGTTCGATTCCCGGTCAGGGCACATGCCCGGGTGGCAGGCTCGATCCCCAGTGTGGGGCCTGCAGGAGGCAGCCAATCCATGATTCTCTCACCATTGATGTTTCTCTCTCTCTCCCTCTCTCTCTCCTTCTCCCTTCCTCTCTGAAATAAATTAAAAAAGAAAAAGAATGCTCAAAAAATATTTAGCACTGTAACTGTGTTACTGGTCATGCTCCAGAAACTAGGAAACGGGTTGGTCGGAATGTAAGTCACGTGCCAACGGGCGCCTTCCGTCAGCTGTTCACTGGAGGCTCCACTGCCCAGGGCAGCCAGGCCGCCCAGCCCCGTACCAAGTGTGACACCCAGCAGGTGGCTGGTGCATGGCGGTTCTGATTCTCCCGGCTGCTTCCTAAGATCCAAGCTCACCTCCTAGAGCTCTGACATCAAAGTAAAGCCAGGAAGCGGAACCCCAGGGAATGGAGCCAACAGCTGTCCTGTCCCTAGGCAGCCAGCACGTCTGCTTCCGACAACCCGATTCCCTGTCTGAACGCAGGCTGAGACACTGTTCCAGATAAAAGGCACCAGAGACAGGACAAAACTGGGTCCTGGGTTAGCGAGGTAAAGGGTATTAGCGGAGCAACTGACAAATTTGAATATGGGCCAGATAGCAGATGATAGTGTTTGCGGTGGAATGAATTGTACCCCCCAAAATTTACAAGGTCTTTAAAGAGGCAATTAGGTTCAAATGAGGTCTTTAGAGTGGCCTGAATCCAGTCTGACTGGTATCCATCTAAGAGAAGGAAATTTGGACACACAAGGAGGCACCGAGGACAGACCCTGTGAGAACACAGCAAGCAGGTGGCCGACTACAAGCCAGGAAGGAGGCCTCAGAAGAAACCAAATCTCTCTTAAAAAAAACAAACACAACTTTTTTTTTTAATTATTGATTTCAGAGAGGAAGGGAGGGGGAAAGAGGGATAGAAGCATCAATGACAAGAAAGAATCATTGATTGGCTGCCTCCTGTACGCCCCACACTGGGGATTGAGCCTGCAACCTGGGCCTGTGCCCTGACCAGGAATCAAACCATGACCTCCTGGTTCATAGGTCGACACTCAGCCACTGAGCCACGCTGGCTGGGCACCAACTCTCTTGACACCTTGATCTTGAACTTCCAACCCCAGAACTGTGAGAAAATATATTTCTGTGTTTAGGTCACCCAGTCTGTGGTACTTTAGGGCAGCCCTAACAGACTAATATGGTATTATAGGAACGTTCAAGTTCCTTAAGATGGAAACTATTTTTCTGGTTATATATTATAATGTCCTTGGTTGAAGATGATTGCCCCTGAAATATTCAGGGGTAAAGAGTCATGATACCTGCAACTTACTCTTAAATGAATCAGCAATAATAATGATGATGATAATGAGTATATGAATATATAGAGTAAATAGGGCTAACATATTAATAATTGGTGAATCTAGATAAAGGGTATAAATGGGATTTCATTCTATTATTTTTGTACCTTTTCTGTAAGTTTAATCTTGTTCTCAAAACAGAGGCTTTTAAAAGATTCCTTTTCTCTCACTTAAGGTGGAGCAGGGAGGGGTCTTTTAGAAAAGGTATCCCCAACTGAACAGCAGGAGCCAGGAGCCAGCACCTACTCCGGGCCAGGTTCAATGCACCTACACTCTCGCAGGTAAGGATCACAGTTCCTCCTCTTACAGAGGCAGGATGGAGGCTCTGAGATGGGAAGCACTTGGCCAAGGCCACACAGCAAGGAAGGGACAGAGCCGGCAGTGAGCCGGGCATGTCTGCCTTCACAGCCTTTCCCACCCGCCGTCTGTGCAAATAAATGGAGTGCACACAGTAGGCATTTAATAAAGACTGGAAGGGAAAGAAACCGGCACTGCTGAGAGAATGGAGCCTGGGAACAGGCCCTCTTTTTTTGGTTATTGTTTAATGTAAAGTGACAGTGTGAAGGCATATATATATATATATATATATACATTTTTATTTGCATGCCCCCTGGGGATCGAGTCCACAACCCAGGCATGTGCCCTTGTCAGGAATCAAACCCAGGACCCTTCAGTCCACAGGCCGACACTCTATCCACTGAGCCAAACCAGCTGGGGTGGGAACAGGCCCTCTTGAGAGCAGCTGGTCGCTGTGCTGCTGGGAGTCAGTGAGGTGCCTGCCCCAGAGCGGGTGCCCCAAATGCCAGCCAGAGGGGTGGCACCTTCACCACAGCGACCCCAGAGCACCTCTCCCTCCTGACCCACCAGAGCGGCCTGCCTCTCCTCTTGGGGATGAGAGAGCAGGAGGAAAGGAGGCAGGGGAACAGGCCCTCTTGAGAGCAGCTGGTCGCTGTGCTGCTGGGAGTCAGTGAGGTGCCTGCCCCAGAGCGGGTGCCCCAAATGCCAGCCAGAGGGGTGGCACCTTCACCACAGCGACCCCAGAGCACCTCTCCCTCCTGACCCACCAGAGCGGCCTGCCTCTCCTCTTGGGGATGAGAGAGCAGGAGGAAAGGAGGCAGGCTGGTAAGTCTGCCAAGAGCCCACCCGTTCAGGGCGGGGTGAGGCTTCCAAGACGCTTGGTCCTGAATGAGGGCAGGCATTTCTTCCCCCGGGGCCTGCACTGAGTGGCGGGGGAAGTGCCTCCCCAGGGACGCAGGCTGGCAGGCGGTACATCCGGGCCTGGCACCAGCTGCCGAGGCCAGGCCTCAGGTGCCCATTACTCATCATTTTCCTGGAGGTTCTGGCTACATCTCCTCGTGGCCAGGAGCCAAGTTCCTCAGGACAGGAAAGGTGACGCTGCCAAGCCCCCCACCAACACAAGGACACCCCCTAACCTGGTCCTCACCCCATTAGCCATCCCTCAGCCCACACACCTGCACCCTCTGAACAAGTGCCCTTTTTCTCCCTCCTTCCCTTTTTTCTCCAGTAGACTTCCAAGCAACTCCATTTTCTAAATCCCCGATACTTTCCTTCCTTTAAGCCAGTCTTAATTCACTGAGAGGCCACCGTACTTCCGGCTCTCAAAGCAGAACTGTCAGCCGCCTCCTGCCCTGTCCAGTCCTGCTTCCCACACACCTCCAGTGACCCCCATCGGCCTTACCCACCCAGCCCCTGCCGCAACGGCCCCGGGTACCGAACTCATACTGACAGACCTCACTAAATCCTCATAACCACCCTGGGGGTGGGCAATATTGGGAGCTAAATCCATCTCCACCTCCACCACTAAAGGAAGAATGACTGCGGCTCAGAGAGGTCAGTAACTGGCTGGAGGCCACACAGCTACTAAACAGCTTTAGATCAAAGCCAAAAGGCTGTCCTGAGAAGTCCTGAGTGCATCTGTCTCCGTCCAGGGAAGAGAACAACAATCTTAGAGGAGGCTGTTCCAGAAAAAAGTAAGGCATCCCGGAAATGCTGCCCAGCCTCAGAGCGGCCTTCCAGGAGAGGGAACCCCAAACAGCCTCCGTCAGCACCTCCCCCAGCCAACGGGCCGGAACAACAGCCCTTACAGCAAACATTTACTGAAGCTCCTGTGCCAGGCGCCTGCACAACCTGCAGAGGTGGGCCTGCGGCTGACCCCGGCTCCACCTTCCGGCTGTGTCCCTCCAGGCACGCATCGCCTCCCCGAACCCTAGACTCTCATTTGCAAAATGAAAAACAACTGAATCTACTTCATAGGCCTGTTGGGAGAGTTCAATGAGATAATGCTTAGCCCAGTGCCTGCCACGGAGTGAGCGCTTAATAAGAGGTAGCGCTTTCAAAGGAACGCGCCGGCCTATAATGAGAAAGGAAAACTACTATTTAAGGGGTTCCTAAAGCCTTCAAAGCCACTACTTATGCATTTAGTTATTTCCTACGGGCGTTGGTTGATGCCCATATTTGAAATAAACTTAATCCTCACAGCATCTGGGGGTGGAAGGGACCAAGGGCAGAGCGACAGTCCTAGTGACAAAGGATGAAAACAAGGCCCCCTAAGGTCAAGGGCTGGCAAACACCGGAGGAGCCCTAAGCCTCAAAAAAAACCCACATCATCAGTGGGTTCAAAGCATCAGACGTGCGTCTCCTCGGGAAGAAATGGCGGGGGGCCATTTTTAGCGGGGCAATCGGCGTGGGGCTTTAATTCCCCACCACTAATAAGTGGTCATCTTTTGTCCCTAAAGGAAAAAATATGTCAGGGCCCAGACCCAGGGGAACTAAAAGTCAGCGCCCGAAACGCCACACGCATGCTTTCAACGCGGAATCAGGCGCTGGCAGAATAAAGGAGATGGCGTCCCCTGTCCAGGAGAAGCAACGAGTCCCCGGGGGCTCGATGTGGGCCGACGGGACCCCAGAAGACCCCCTGGGCGCCGGCCGGAGGGGGGGAGAGGGTGACGGCGGCCGGGGGTTCCCGGGCTCTGCTCACCTGGCCGCGGCGTTTAGCGCATTGGGCAGGGCCAGGGCCCCGCCGGCCAGAAGCAGAGCTGGGGTCGCCCCAGCTCGGAGAGGCCCGGATGATTTAAGTATTGGTATAAAAAAGCTAGAAGAAATAAGTTACAAAAATTTAGCGGTGGGACTGGGGGGCCGGTGCGACCATGCCGGTCACCGGGAAGGCTTTCCGCCGGCGCCGGGCCGACTCGGAGTCGGAGGAAGATGAGCAGGACTCAGAAGAGGTTCGGTGCGTTTGGAACGGGCTTTCCACTGGGCAGAAAGCGAGAAGCTGCTCGGGGTCTCACCGCCGGCCCGGCGCCTTGTTGACACCTTGGCAACCGGGAGCCGGTGGTGGTGTCCCCTTTTGCGGACAAAGAAATGGAGGGTTCTGGGGCCGAGGCCGCCGTCCCCGAGGCCGCACAGTTAAAGGAGCTGCCCCCGGGATGGGCAGTGATCGGAGTCCCGGTGGGTCCAGGCGCAGGTTCGCGTCTGGACCCTGTGCCGGAAGCTCAGCAGCCGGCTGGGTGCGGGCGCAGCTCTGTTTGACTCTGAGTCCCGCGGAGGGTCTCTCAACCTGCACATTGCCTTTTATTCAGATTAAAACTGGAGGAGACCCGAGAGGTGCAGAACTTGAGGAAGCGGCCCAACGGAGTGAGGTGGGTACCATGGGGGGCCCCGGAGGAGGAGGGGGTGGGGATGACTGACCGCCCCGGCGGGTCGCTGTCACAGAGTATCTCCTCAGACATAGACATAGCTCCTTTTCTTTTATTGACTTATTTGTTTTTACTTATTCTTTATTTTTTAATTATTATTTTGTTGTTAATCATCACCGAGGATATTTTTCCGTTGATTTTTTAGACAGGATGGAAGTGGGAGAGACACAAAGAGAAACGATGATGTGAGAAAGACACATCCATTGGTTGCCTCCTGCACATGCCCTGGCCCAGCCAGGGGATGGAGGCTACAGCCCAGGTACCTTGACTGGAATCGAACTCAGAACCCTTCAGTCTGCAGGCTGATGCTCAAACCCACTGAGGCAAACCGGCTAGGGCTTTAGCCCCTTTTCTTGACACACTACACTTTCCACTGTACACCCGAAGGAGGCACAGCGTTCTTTGAAACGTTTAACCAGGCGATGGTCTGAGCCATGTGGTCTCAAGGTTTGCTCCAGAGGCACAGAAACAAGTCACTATCTCTTGTTTTCATTGCGTCCAACTAATTGTGGAAGCACATTGATTGTTGAGAGTTGGGAAAATTTAGAAAAGTATAATCAAGAAAATAAACAGCCCCCATAATTCTTCCATCCAGAGGTAACCAGTGTTAACATTTAATGTCCTTTCCAATCTGTATTCTTTCTCCCTTTTGTAAAGAATGACTGAGAACTTTTGTTCTATGCTATTTTCAACTCATTATGACACTGTGGTCGTTCACTCACTTTGAAGAATATTTCTCCAAAGCCCTTTTTAATGGCTACATAGTATTCCACCACAAGTATGTACCACAATGTAACTTAATTCCCTATTTGAGGACCTGTAGGTCACTTTGTAAACTTTCATCAAATCAGGCCGCAATAGTATTTTCCTACACTTGTCTTTAGCTTCATGTTCCCTGAAGGCAAAAAATCTTAGAAGTGAGATTTCCAAGGCAAGATAATGCCAAATGGCTTTATAGAAAGGTTTGCCTCTTCACCCATCCCCCAGCATCTACAGCGCTTGTTGAGCCCCATGTTATAGGCTTTTCCAGCTGGCTTTGGTGCCCACCCCCCAAATCTCACCCTGCCACTAATGTTGCAATCTACAAACTTCCTAAACAGTCTTTCTCATCTCTGAAATGTGCCGTTCTTCCCGCCCTCCTTTTTCTTTTCGGTTTTGCTCAGTGCTGTGGCCCTGCTGGTGGGAGAGAAGGTACAAGAAGAGACCACTCTAGTGGTAAGTTGTGGGATCCTCCCTGGGCAGTGGGAAGATGTGAGTGTTCTTCGGTGGATGATTGTGTTTCCTTAGAAAAGAAAATTCCCAGCCAATTATGAAGCTGTTTCTTCTCAGCTGTCTTTGCTTTCTGCAGGATGACCCCTTTCAGATGAAGACAGGAGGCATGGTGGACATGAAGAAGCTGAAGGAAAGGGGCAAAGACAAGTAAGTGCAGGACCCGCTGGCACGGATGCACCAGTGGCTCCCATGTGCCCCGGGGAGCTGGGGCCTGTAGCAGTGGCTTTAGAGGGACATCTTCAAGTATCCTCTGTGCTTTGTAAACTACATATAGTTTAAAAACAAAGGAAAACAAAAACTCTTTAAAAGTTAGCTTAGAGAGATGTGGGTACGGTCCGTTTTGTAAAGGTGCATTGCTTATTGTCTTTCAAATCCATGTGGAAGTTTTTCTTTTCTTTTTTTTTTTTCTTTAATATATTTTATTGATTTTTTACAGAGAGGAAGGGAGAGAGATAGAGAGTTAGAAACCTCGATGAGAGAGAAACATCGACCAGCTGCCTCCTGCACACCCATACTGGGGATGTGCCCGCAACCCAGGTACATGCCCTTGACCGGAATCGAACCTGGGACCTTTCAGCCCACAGACCGACGCTCTATCCACTGAGCCAAACCGGTTTCGGCGGAGGTTTTTCTTTTTAAAGAAAACAAAAACACAATTATGAAAATAATGCAATCAAACAATATAAAAGTAAAAAATAAAAGTATCTGCCAATTCCCCAGAGGAATCTCCGCAGGCCAACAGTTTGCTTGCTTATATTTATTGTGTTGACATCTCATGTATTTCCCCCCAACTGTTAAGAGGATATCACACTTTTTTGTTGTGTACCTGTGTTGTCGGTATCACGTAACACTTGGCCTCTGTGAGCTGTGACTTTAAGGCCCTGCTTCTCTCTGCTTCTCTCCTTCCAGGATCAGCGAGGAGGAAGACCTCCACCTGGGGACATCATTCTCCGCGGAAACCAACCGGAGGGACGAGGACGCCGACATGTAGGTGTCAGTCTGGCTGTGAGCGATCGGGGTGGGCGCCCGCCAGACACAGTCCGAGCTAGTTCGTCACAGATGACATTTCTAGAGTCAACCACAGACATCAGTGCTGGTCCCTCTTGGCCCACCTCCCAGGCTGAAGAACTTGAAAAAGTCTGAAAAGTTCTTTAAAAGTGGTTCTTGAGATTTTAGATTCCTTGACTAATAATATTTCCCCAAAACATTGCAGGGATAAACACTAGACTGCCTATTTCTTATTATGGCCAATAAGACTGTTGAACAAACAACTACCATCTCCCATTATCCTTCCGTCTTCAAAGAACCTTACATAGAATAACACCAACAGATTGGTGGCAGGTTATCTCATAACATAGGTTGGTGCTTTAAGTGGTAAATTTTAACTTGAGAAAAATTTTCAAGTTATTTTCATTTTTCTCCCCTCTCCATCGACTGATGAAAACTTGCTCACAGACCGTCACTGCTCTGTGGGCGGTGGGGCCACTCATTTCAGAGGTGCCTGTTGTGAGCTTCCTGAGACCTTGTTTCTGGTTTCAGGATGAAGTACATTGAGACGGAGCTGAAGAAGAGGAAAGGAATCGTGGAACACGAAGAACAGAAAGTGAAGCCCAAGAACGCAGAGGACTGTCTCTACGAGCTTCCGGAAAACATCCGCGTCTCCTCGGCGAAGAAGACGGAGGAGATGCTTTCCAACCAGATGCTGAGCGGCATCCCCGAGGTGGACCTGGGCATCGAGTATGTTCCAGACCCTCGCCGCACCTCTCCCCTGCCCCTAGGCTGCCGGGGGACCGCTCTGCTTTCTCACCTGTCTCCTAGGAAACCCACAAAACTATGTTCTCTCTGGTGGGCTGAGGTGTTGTCTCCAGAAGCTCTGAAGAGTTGGGCAGAGCAGCTAAAGACACTTAGGGACCCTGACTGCTGAAAGCCAAAGTGTGTTTTCATTTCGCTTTGTTCACAGCTCAGCTGTTCTAGTCAGGCCCTGTGTTCTTCTGTTGTTGTTCTTTATATGTTTTTATTCATTTCAAAAAGGAAGGGAGAGAGAGAGAAACATTAATGATGAGAGAGAATCATCAATCGGCTCCTCCTACACGCCCCATACTAGGGATCGAGCCCACAACTCGGGCATGCGCCCTGACGGGGACTTGAACTGTGACTTCCTGGTTCATAGGTCCATGCTCAACCACTGAGCCACACTGCCGGGCTATTCTGTTTTGTTGGGGTAGGAGCATTGTTAAGGGCTTAGCCACCCCATGATCCTCCTCTCATTTTTACTACAGAACATCTGCTCTAAACGGGGACTGTCATGGAGGAAATACAGTGGTCAGAATCCTCTGCGGCTGAGTAGAAGGTTGGGAGACCTCTGGGTTCTCACCTCTTTCCTGGCTTTCCAGCTCTGAGCCTTAGGCCGTTCTCTGTTCCTCTCGGAGATGCAGTTTCCTCTTGATCAGAAGAGACTAAGTCCTGCGTCTCCAGGCTGTGAGAGTGCCATGGGGGTGTGGCTGCCGGTAAACTGCAGAGCTGGGCCCCAGGATCGAGGACTTCCTTCTGCAGTGGGGGGCCGCCAGCCTCGCCGGTCACTCCCGGGGCCAGAGGGGCGGCGGTCTAATACGTGGCATGGCTCCTTTCTCCCCTCAGTGCCAAAATAAAAAACATCATTTCCACGGAGGATGCCAAGGCCCGTCTGCTGGCAGAGCAGCAGAACAAGAAGAAAGACAGCGAGACATCCTTTGTGCCCACCAACATGGCGGTGAATTACGTGCAGCACAACCGATGTAAGCCTCGGGGAGGCAGCCCCTCTCACCCCTGCCCCTCTGGTTTGAGGTTCCTGGTTCCCGCATTTTTCTGACATGTCCCCTGGTCTCTTTGGTCCAGTTTATCACGAGGAGCTCAACGCCCCCATCCGGAGGAACAAAGAAGAGCCCAAAGCCCGTCCCTTGCGAGTGGGCGACACCGAGAAGCCAGAGCCTGACCGTGAGTACAGCAGTGGCCTCAGGGCGGCCTGGAGTGAGCTCAGCGCTCAGGGCCCATGGGGGCAGGTGGGAGCTCGGGTGCGGGGCCAGGGCAGCTGAGTTTTAGTCCATGTTCTGGACCCGGCCTTGCCCCTTCCCCGTTGCAAGCCTGTTTCCTCATCTACAAAATGGGAATAGTAATAAAACCTACCACCTGGGGCTGCTCTGAGGATTCACTGGGCTGTCAAATAGAGACTCAAAAATTAGAAAATTTCAATAAGCAAAAATAAATGAAAAGTTATTCATTATTGCACCACCATACAACCACTGTTAACATTTTTACGTACAACCTTTCAGACTTGTAAAAATACTCCCATATAGGAAACATTGTATGTACCTAGAAGGATCTCACAGCTTTTGACTCAGTAGTCTGCCCTGCATGTCTCTCCTTGTCAGTAAACATTTTCAAAGGCCATTTCATGTTCCACTGGAAAGACAGATGTCGCCTCACCATTTCCCATTTCCCCTTTAAACGCTGCTTTGATGCTCATTCTTGACCATGTCATGCCCTTAGTTACCTTTATTTTTTTTTATATATTTTATTGATTTTTTACAGAGAGGAAGGGAGAGGGATAGAGAGTTAGAAACATCGATGAGAGAGAAACATCGATCAGCTGCCTCTTGCATGCCCCCCACGGGGTTGAGCCCACAACCCAAGCATGTGCCCCACCTGCGCCCTCTTGGTGTATGGGTCAATGCTCAATCACCAAGCCACACAGGCTAGGCAGTACTTGGTGTTTTTTTGTTTCCTTTAATAAGTCTTTATTTTCTTAAAGGAAATTCTGTTTTCTCATGCTATTCTATTTATCAGAAGTTTTTTTTTCCCTCTGTTATTCCCTAGGGAATTTTATGCATCCTTCAAGTAGTTTTCCATCACTACTTGCCTTCTCCTCACCTCTTATACCTTTTACTCTTCCAACTTAGTAATAATATCTTTTATGTCCAGAGTTGGCCACATTCCCCAGAATTCTGATTGCTTCCTTTAGTTTCTTTCTATGTTTTAGAGGACACTATTTAGATTTCTATTTCTTTTATTTAGTTTTTATTTTTTATATAT